TAGTTTAAGTAGAATATAAAATTCAGCTAATCAATAATGAGCGTGAAAATAACGACATCGATCACATATCTTAATTTTTTTACGAAATTCACTACAGTGGAAAACGAGAACAATTGCTATTAAAATTTGTATGATGTAACCAATCGATTAGGCATGCAGCGAAGGGTAGATGTGGGTGTGAATGTGAGTTCTGGTGTGCGTGTGCTCATTCTTTTCAAGATCACCCACGCACGACATTCCACACCCAAAACATAAACTCATGAGTGTAGTTCATTTCGTTTTCTGAAATAAAACAGTCCAGAAACTTTTTGAACATGGGTGTACTTTAATTGAGCTGTATTGCTTGAACCTTCACATTGGTTGTTGTTGTATCCAACTGCAAAAGATCATTTGACATATAGTAATAAATCAAGTTCTATATTTCATACGTACATTCGCCTACTTCAGTCTCAAATATCGTCAATCGTATGGCACAAGTAACTCATCAGACTGTCTTTGTCACTGCACAACCGGTCGTCATCAATCCGTTCCATCAATTCAATGACCATTGGAGAGTAGGCATTTGCGAGTGTTGTGACGATCTGAAACAATGTGAGATAATCGTTCTATCGACTATTCGTTATTCTTTGTTTTGGTGTATTTTTAGGTTGCTACGCATATTGGTGTTGGCCTTGTTTTGTTTTGTCACTGGCAGGCAAGATTGACGAATCATGTCTATCGTGCTGGTGCCTTCCAAATGCACTTGCTGTGTATCGCATGAAAGTTCGGTCTACTCTGCGAATCAAAGTGAGTTATTCTAGGCAAAGATAGAATTGAATTGAAGGATTGTTTTCTATTCATCAGGGTGATTCATGCAATGACTATTGTGCCGTTTGCTGTTGTCCATTCTGTGCCGGACTTCAGATGCGTAATGAACTCATTCAGCGTGGTCTTGGTTAAATCGATCCAATGCGTACTGAAACGATAGTTTCTAGTTAAGAAAACAAACTGAATTTCTATAAAGCATATTAACAAATAAAATCGCTGTTTATGTGATATCATTGTTAACATCATCTGAAAACAATAAATAAATATTAATTTTGACATTTTGAAGAACAAAAAATGTCAAAGCGAAATCCAAAAGCAAAATGTTTTTTTTAGAAAGAGAATTTTGCCTCTATTTGTTTCTGAGGTTGGGGTGTTGGGTATCGATGTCAAGGTTCCTCGTTTCCTACGGTTCCACCATCAAGGAACGGGACCAACTTGAAGATTCGTTTCCGAGTGTTTCTGATTATATTGAGGCTTTTGAGCGCACTTATTCTTTCAATGTGTATCAAGTCGATATGGGTTCCTGAGTGCCTAGGAATGGAACCCACACCAGGTTCGGGTTCCCGAGAACGAAACCAGAAGCTGAGACCTCACAGTGTGTTGTATATATGTGAAATGGATGTGGATGTGAGTGTAGATACGGGGTGTGGGTGTGATTATACTCTTACCCCACACTCACACCCACAACCACATCCACACACCTAAATCTTAATCTGTCTTCAACACTCCGCAAAGATTGATATACTACCAACGACAAAATTAACGCAAATCGTATTTTTGATCTAAAATATACAGTTTGTGGTCAGAAGAAGTTTCCTTGAATATATATGAATAGTACAAGTATAAATGTTTATAATACAAATAAAAATTTAATATGAAGATACAAACTGTTGATATGCTTTCTGAGTCTGTTTAATACATGCTTGAATAACATTTAATGATAAACCACTTATAGCTGCACCGACAGCATTCACTAGTTCACCTTGTGGTTTTGGACTTTTGTTTTTAATGTTTTGTTTGATAATGTTCAGACCAGTTCAATGGCATAAAAATCAGGACCATAACCTAGCCATTCACATAATTCAATATTAAATTGGTCATATGATGTATTTTTGTATGTTGATTCCGAATATTACACTTATTTTTCATGCAAACCGACTTTCGATAGTCAAAATCTCGAAATAGTACTGTTTTATGATATTGACTATGGGAATGGCTCTTGCCTAAAGTATTAAGTTTCTTGCTAATATCAAAAAAGTCCAAGATCTGCTTGAATGATTTCATATCTTTACACTATCCTCAATCAAAAAGTAAGCAACCGAAAACAAAATGTGCGGGGAAGGGAGGGGGGGAGGGGTATAGACGCCAATTCCTTTACCGAGACGTAAATAGAGTGCGGATGTTGACCTGGATTTTTTTTTGATCTGCCAACTCCTACATCCTTTATGATGCTAACATGAAACTCAATAAAACAAAGGTGATTTTGCACAAAAACTTTATGGTAGACAGATTAACTGTCCAGCTAACGAATGACGATTCTCCAAGAGGAAAAAAGCGAAAATTTGGCATTTCAGTGTACTCAAACAGTATGTCAAAACTATCCTGTAGAACTGTCTAACTATTTCAAATCTACTATCAACTTGTACGACGATCATGTTAGGTTGAGTTCATTTTATAGAAGTCTGTCTGAAAATAAAGCTCCAATACTTCATCATAGTTCAATATTTGATTATTAGTAAAGTACGACTAAGTATTTGGGCTTTATTGTGAGACAGATTTATATAAAATGTACTTAAACTAATATATTCGTCACACAAGTTAATAATAGACTTAAAATAGTTAAAAAGTTCTAGAGAATAGTTATGACATACTGGTAGAGTTCGGTGAAGTAATTGTAAAAACACGGATTATTCGATTTTTTCCATTGGAACTCTCGCACAAATGAAGATACTCGAGTGGTAGAGATTCGAGTATCCTAAGATCATCATAGTATTAAATCCACAATTTTATTCATTGTCATCCAACTAAGCTCTACTTTTCATAAAAATTCTCAGCTTCAATCCTCGGGTTTTTGGTTACTTTTACCTGGTATAGCCACTTTTATCTAGTATTGTATTTCGTTTGATATAGAATGAATTATAAAAAAATAAAAAAACATTTTTCTATTCTATTTATATAGAGTTCTATACTAGTTTCAAAAAATTTACGTCTGATAAATAAACACTCATTTAACAATCAAAATACTTACTTTTACTCAAAATCATTATCAGTCGTTTCAGTAATTATTATTATTAGTCTCTGTGAATACTTCACACAGTCATCTATCCGTAATTAGAATTAATCGTATTATATTAAAAATATGTGGAAATACTATAATAAATTTTACGATGAATCAATATATTTTGACAACAAAAAGATGAGTATAGATTTAGCTAAGATATATAGCGACATCTACACACCAATACCTTCACCCTAGAGTTCAATGTTATTTTAGTTTTATTAAGAACATTTTCTAACCTTATTGAAATGCGCACACGATCAAATCTAGAAACAGAATTCTGTTTTATACATAAAGCTGAAATTTCGGACAAAAATTTATTACTTTACACTTTGTCTATCAATTTTAGTATGTTTTCATGTAAACGAGAATATCTTAACTTTGTGACTCGATTAGATCATTAACCAGCTCTTATCAATAGAAAAATTTTATAGATTGCGGAATTTTGTTTTTGTTGATAGGAATAGAATAGTTTTCGCAAGCATAAGTTTGAAGAAAACTACAACCAAACAGAAGTACAATACCGTATATGGAAGACTTCCTCTTCACTTTTTTTTGTCTTATTAAGAAAGACAATTCAGTTTATCAAAATCATCATAGCATTAGACACATGCAAAAATTTCATATCTTTTACTACAACATACAAATCTTTAAAGTCTAACTAAACAAAAATCAATGCTTAAATTTTACTGATATTACTATTCAGCAGTATTATTATTTTGCGGCATCCGATACTCTTAATAATACAAATGCTGAATATAGGAATTTGTTGTTTTGAAGAAAACGTATCCATTCAATGAACACAAAATTTCAGATTTTTTACCATAAGAACGAAAAATTTTGATAAAATTCATTTTAAGAAAACAGCTAATCAAATAAAAAACCAGCAATGTAATCTATCTATTTCACATGTGATTAAAAATGTTACAAGTTAAATGAGTGAAGAATGTCGAATCGAAACTCAGTACTTACAACAGAGACTAGTCTAATTTCAAATGTACAGTATATGGTATTTTTTAAAAGATCAATTCCATATGTTTAAGATTTCTTTCATAACAACCTTATATTTGCTAACATCAATTACACATCATGTCGTTCACATCTAGAAACATAATCAATAGCTAGTTATTCAACTTTAACTTGATGAGCTTACTTTGAAGTCATAGCGCATGATGAAGTATATGATGTTTGAAAAATTGTTATTACTCCTGCGCACATAGGTTAGATAGAGCATAGCTTCTGATATCTATGAAAAGACGATTGTGTGAACTATACAGAGACAACAATATTAGTGCACCAGTAATTCTTATTGCTTTTATATAAAAATAATTATATGGGTGAAAAAATATTCGAATATTCGATATACAATAAATATTTCTTGTGAATTTGTCAATTATGGAGATGTTCAATAAGAATGAAAATGCATGATTTGCGTCTTACGTGAATTCGAACTATTAGACATGTAGATATGTCTTTTAGGAAAATGTTGTTTATTGGTCAAATTGAACTTGCTTATCATCCCGTACATCACGAAAACAACAGCTGGACATTGACGAATGAGTACACCTACAGCTGGCAAATTTCAACGAAGAAAAAAGAAAAAATCTATTGGTGATAAACGAAAATGCGTCCAAACTGAAAAAATACCGAACAGAAGAACATCAAAGAAAAAACCCACATAAAATTGAAATAAACCATGAAAAAAAACTGCACTCATGAAAGAGAATAGCGCACATACACCAACACCAGCACTCACCTGTCCTCTCAAAAAATTCAATCTATTATGTCGTCTCGTTTATAAGAAAAAGAACGAAAGAATTGAAGGAGGAAGAAGAAAAAAAGCAAACGAATAATAGACGACAAGGTAAAACAACCAAAGTAAGTTTTACTTTTGTAGCTACGTGCAAGCAAAAACATGGCAAATGCAGACATTAACAATTTAAATAACGATTTCATTGTCGTTTGGTTAGACAGTACTATTGAAAAGACCAAAGATGGTCAAAATACAAAAGCACTTATACGACAACTGGTTAGAGGTAATTTATTAACATTTGATGATCCAGATAAATGTATTGATAATATAACTGACGAACCGTTAAAACGAATATTTCTTATTGTTTCTAATACATTTGGTAAGCATGTTATACCACTTGTACACGAATTACCAAACATACAAGCGATATACATATTTTGTGGTAATCTACAAGTAGCTGAAGCATGGGCTAAACCATATTCAAAAATCTCTGGTATATTCAAAAAAAAAGAACCACTATCACGGAAAATTTGTGATGATGTTAATTTATGTGATAAAGATGGTGATTTACCAATGAGTATATTTCACCTCGCGGAAAAACAAAATACATTACAACAATTAACTAAAGAAAGTGCAGCATTTATGTGGTATCACGTAATATTGAAAGTTCTTCGATTAATGGCAAAACATGGTAATGCAAAAACTGAAATGATTGCTGAATGCCGAGCAAGTTACTATAATGACCCAGTTGAACAAAATAAAATAAATGATTTTGAACAAAGTTATGATCCAATGAGAGCATGTTGGTGGTACACAAGAGATAGTTTTGTATATCGATTATTAAATAAAGCTTTACGTACACAAAATACTGAAATTATATTTAAATTTCGATTTTTCATCAATGATCTTTATAACCAACTCGAACAACTTTATAATCAATATTTAAATACTCATTCTTCTATTATTGCTCATCATCACATAACAGTTTATCGTGGTCAACGATTAGGTATAAGAGAAGTAGATCTATTTAAAACTAATGTAAATGAACTTATTTCAATGAATAGTTTTTTAAGTGCTACAGCGAATCAAGCTGTAGCTAAAGTTTTTGCAGATACAAGTGACCAATTGAACGAACCATCACCATTACAATCTGTTCTTTTCATCATTGATATTAGTAATATGAGTAAAGAAATGACACCATTCGCATATATACAAAACTATGCTGCGTGTCCAGATGAAGAAGAAGTGCTTTTTTCAATAGGTGCTATTTTTAAAGTTCAATCAGTTGAAGAACATAGTAACATGTGGCATGTTCGTTTACAGCTAAGTAAAGAACAAAAAGAAATTAGTCAAAGTCTATCGGATCATATGATGAAGCAAATTGGCTCACAACCAAATCCATTGTCATTCGGTTGGTTTCTTTTTCGAATGAATAAATTTGACGAAGCTGAACGTTATGCAAAATATATGTTTACACAACTTCCACCGAATGATAAAGGAACTGGAGATGCTAATAACTTACTTGGTCTTATCTATAAAGCTACTCATAAGCTGGAACAATCTGTTGAATGTTATGAAAAATCGCTTGAAATTTATTCTCAATTGAATTGTCACGATAGTCCTCAAGTTATTGCTACTCATTGTAGTCTTGGTTTGGCTTATTTGGAATTAGGAGATAGTCGAAGTGCAGAAGAACAACAAGAAAAAGCCGAAGAGAAGTTGTCCAAGCTCACACAAGCAAAGGATGTATTACTCATAGCTACCGTGCATGGTCTCAAAGCTAAAATTGAAACAGAATATGGTGATAATACAAGTGCTTTGAAAAGTCTTCAACTGGTCTTAGAGAAGAAGAAGCATCGATTACCACCAAATCACTCTTCGATAGCATCAACGTTGAATGATATAGGTATTGTTGAAGAAAAAATGAACAATGATGTTAAAGCACTTGAATATTTTCAACAAGCATTGACAATCGGTAACGCAAGCTTACCACCAGGTCACTTGGATTTAGTTGATTATCATACAAATATTGGTCGTATTTATGACAAGCAGAAACAATTTAAACTTGCTTTGCAAGAATTTGATTTAGCGCTTACAATTATGCAAGAATTTCCAAGAGAAGAAACTGATAGAATTGAAAAATTAGAGAAATATATCGCTGACATGAAAAAAAAAGCTTGTTCAGCTACAAATTGACTGATGAAAATCTTATTTTCACAAATTTTTTATAATTTTTTTCTCACTTATTATATTGATTTTAAAATGAAATTCAACAATTGAAGCAAATGAGCAAAAACATATTGGATAATTCCATAATACTCGAATTTACTGATCCACTTCCAGATAGCCCGTCAGCCTGATAGTTCATGCGAAAGAAAAGAAGTTTGACTCACTAAATAAAACTTCATTAAATGAAGATATAAAAAGAATAATATGCGTTTGATTCTTCTAATTTAATGTTTACTAGCAAAATGTCAAGCTTTTACCAACTATGATGGAATAATTTTCTTCAAGTCATATTTACATATCTAACTAAAACCAGTACGATTGTAAACGGCAGTTTTGAGATAATATTATTTATCAATATTCCATTTCGAAAAATAATTGTAGGATCTCATACTAAATAAGTTGTTAGTTTTCGATAATTATTGAGTTTTTCATACAAATGTTAACTGTTTCGATCATTGTCATTCTATTTTATTTATTTGGTCGTGTATTATTCGCTTTTGAAGAGCGATTTATAAAAAGTTACATTTATCACGTATTATTTTACTTCTTATGAACATATTATCACATTAGTATCTTTACTCTCTATTAAAACAAAGATAGTTGAAAAAAACATTCGAAATCTGACCAATAATACTCCTAAGCATTATGAATTTTATAAGATATTTATAATTGTATGTAATAATTTAACATGTCTTTTTATGCAATCAAATATTTGAATTTTTCATTGTTGCAATATTATATTTATAATAAGTTACTTAGAATACACTCATTAAATAACAACATCTTATCAACTGAAATGTTGTAAAAGAAAGGGATACTAACTGGAATAGAATAATTAAAAAACAATTAACTGAATATATCAATGAAAAGGATCGAATTCATATATTAATAGTAAAATATTTTATCCTTTCGTTCTTTCTGTAATCCAATGTTCCACTAGAAGTAGAACTTTGCTACTGAAGATATTACAATGTTTCATTTTTTTGAGAGACAATGGTATATACGATGAGATTTGGCGGTTTTCTTCTTCGTCTTTTGACGACACTACCATTTTTCTTCCTCAGAAGCCGGCTAAACCTATAAAAACCAGTAATCGTTATTAGTCTTTTCAGTATTTTAAAATACACTACTGGCCAAAAGTAGCGATCGCTGACAAAAGTAATCAAATGACTTGAGCGTTTGAGCCAAAAAATTTATCTTATGTAGAATTGAGTAGGCTCTAATCTAAAACATCAGCACGCGCTCAATAAGGTAACGAACAATCGCATTGTGCTCTAAACTCTATTTTGACACTGGGATCTTTACCGCCGACACATCTTCATTTGTGGAGAATCTTTATTCATTAGTTGGACATTTAATCTTTCTACCATAATGTCTTTGTGCGAAGCCACTTTTCTCTTGTTAAATTCTATGTTGATATTTGAGAACCATTTGGCGCAAGCAAAGCAGCGCCTACAAATAAATTGACTAAAACACAGATAGATTTCAGCCGTTTTTCCTATAATATTTTTTGAAGTATCTAACTGTAGAATTTTATGACACACTGTTTATGGTTTATTTTTTGTTATGTACTTTATTTATGGGAAACAATGTACGTGCTCAATGTTCTAATAAAAATATCTCTTTATTTATATCAGTAAAAATAAACATGGATTATAACAGTAGAAACCAAACTTAGTTCTACAAAGTCACATCGATTAGAAAATTAGGGTTCAACATCAAAATTGCCAAAACAATTATCACAAGTCAGCAGTTAATCGCGTTCAAACCGGCGATTGTCGTTTGAATATATGGTAAATAATTGCCAATTTTTTTAGCAATTTTTACCGCACGAGAAAATCCTAGAAAACAGACTCGACAAACTCCGACAGTACACATCTGAGTGTTCTAAGGGCAAAACAGTATTTGGTTAACAATTGCGTTATTTTTTATACTATTGAATGCGTGTGGATGTGTAGAATCATGACCTTCTAAACTTTATATATGATCAAATTTTCACTTGTACCTGCTTTCATTATTTTTGCCTAGTAGTGTAGTTTATTAGTGACAAAATGAATTGTTAGAAAATACTTTTCTTTATTTTATGTTTCTACAGCTCTAAACTATTTTCAAAAGTTTTGCGTCAAGTGAATAAATACTTATCTAACAATGGAAATATTTTATTTGATTGGAAATAATTATCAGTCTTTTAAATACGTATATACATTTAAGGAGCTGGATAGTTTTGTTTACTTTCAATCTATAGGCAATTAAAAAAATTGCTCGATCTCGTTTTCATGAAAAAACAGAACCACTGCAAGTGCATTATTATTAGTCTTTATGCACAATTCATACAGTTTTGTATGCATAAACAGCTTAGTTCTGTTATATTAAACATATGTATAGATACATAGTAATAAAATTTACGACGAATCGACATACATTGACAAAAAATTCGAGGGTAACTTATTGAATTAAATTCTTATTTAGAGAGGCCATAGTTTATCTCATATTGATAATAAAATATTAATAGTCTATGATAAGTAGTATTTTGGAACACAATGGAATGTCAGAATGCCATAGTTATTTTAAACATAAATAATTATACATTGTTGATGATCTGATATGTGAATAATATAATTAAGAGATAAAGGAGATTAATTTATCAATTTTTGATTGAATCTTTTTCTTAAGTTAGATTCGATTAGAATTTTTTATTTTGAAAAAAAAACCATCTACCATACATGTGAATCATTAAAAATATTGAATGACATTAAAAATAACATTACTTAGTGTTTTGCTAGAGTTGAATGCTATTTTGATTTTATCAAAAATATTCTCTAACCTTATTGAAATGCGACATGGTCAAATTTAGACAGAATTCTGTTTGAGACATAAAGCTAAAGTTTCGGACAAAAATTTATTATTTTAGAATTTGTCTGCCGATTACGCCTAAGTGTCAATTTTAATTTGCTTTTATATAACGAAGAGTATTTCATCTTTATGATTCGGTTAGGATCCGAGTAAGCTTTTATCAGTAGGAACGTTTTCTAGAGGTTAGAATTTTGTGTATGTTGATGCGAAAAGAATAATTTTTGCACGCTCAAATTTGAAAAAAACTATATATTCGTAAAAGGAGGACTTCGGCGTCATTTTTTCTGTGTATGGTTCGAAGAACACACAATTAAGGTCATTATTTCACTAGATACACTGAAGAAGTCGATGTCTTTTATTGAAACATAGGCATCTTCAAAATCTAACTAAATAAAAAATGAATTATTAAAACTCTCTGGTTCTCTTGTTCATGAATACGATTTTTTTTGTCGTATTCGGTACTATTAATGTTACACAAATTGGATATATACGTTTTTTTTAGAAAAATGCATGTTTCCATAAAATGAACGCAAACTTTGTGATCTTTTTACACCAGAGCGAAAACCTTTGACCACATTCATCTTAAGAAAACAACCAACCAAAAGCCGGCAATAAAATCTACTTCACATATGATTAAAAAATGCTAAAAGGCACATGATCGAAAAATATTAGATTGAAATTCCGTAAACAGCAAAGACTACTCTAATTTGAAATGTATAGTAAATGGTATTTTTTTATATGATAAATTACATATGATTAAGGTCTGTTTCATATATAAATCTTATGTTCGCCAACACTGATTCAACGTCATGTCGTTCATATTAGAATACTGTAGGTTAAAGCTTTTTCGCATCCTATACCGTGTGCTGCTATTCCCTGATTTTATTAGGTTTCAATTTTAAATTTGTCTTTACCAGCTTTCAAAATACTTAATTTGATTTTTTAAAAATCCTTCATAATATCAACTAACTACACACCATACTTCGCTGCTAGCTACTGAATTCTTCTTGAGCTCTGTGTCGGATTCAATAAAAGAGAGAATGCAGAAGGTACACCACCATCCAAATCACCATACTTGCAGCCTACGTCAATGAATGCTTAGTATGAGAGACCGAAGTCTAACCAAGTTAAGTCAAGTTAAATCCGAAGGACTCGGCTTTTTTTAAAGGCTTTGCTTATTCATTAAAACGCTCTTGTTAGAGGCTATTTTGATCCTCTGGTTGGTAAAGCTGATGATACAAGATTGATTTGTCACCAGTCAATTAGTAGCTGCCGCTCCGTTACACATATCTATGCGGTGAATTGACCATTGATAGAAACCGAGTCAAGTCAGATTTTTTAACCTTATTTCAGTCTCTACTTAACATAACTTTAATAGCCATCGTCATTCATACTTTTAAATGAACGCATGTTGAACGCGTACTATCTGAAACAAGTGAATGTAATCATCTGATAATAGAACCACATCCTTCTTGAATATTTTTTAACTGGCACAGTCGATTCTGATACCGTCGTCTTTTAAAAACAATTTTGAATATGTTACAGAAGAGAATCGGCTGCATTTTATTTTTGAATTCTTATGATAAGGTTTGTTGGCATATGTTACATTGAATGAGCACTTCAAATGTCCATGTATCATTTGAATTCGCCATTCAATGATGAAGAAGTTGCTATTGCTGTAGTTGAATTCTTACTTTCAACGAACGTAGCATATCTTTCTTCTTCTCATCGATAATTTGTCGAGATGATTTGGCAGCTATTGCTCAACATATACACCGATTTAAACTCGATAAAATAACGAGAAATCCTTACATCATCAATTCATGTTAGATGAAGCAACGTAGACAAAAAAAACGCATAATTGCTTTCTGATTCATACGGTCTTTCTGGTCTACTCTTTTAACACTATAATACCGATGTATGTAGTCTTCTAAACCAGGAAGATGTCAGCATTGTCTTGAAAGATACTCTTATTGGCAAAGGTTCTCTTAGCAATATGAGACAAATCCTATTTTTATCTTGAACATTATTTTATCAGCTTTACCTTACTCTATTCAAAGGTTCCTGTTAATTTCCATTTTCATCGACTTTGTTGTTCGCTGATCTAGTGTTTTGTTGGTTCAAAAATCACACAGGAGGGTGTGGGTGTTTTTCAACTCATTGATCCCGGTCCTTCTCGGTTATGAATTTATTCAATGACATTGGAATCGGCAAAACACTTAGTTGGAGAAAAAACATTTTCACAAAACTTGACTGAGTCAGTTTTCTTGCCGTAAGCTTGTTTACCGTACAAAACTCTGGTGCACATTTAAAAATACAACCAAGAATTAGTTGTTCGCCTTTAACTTGATGAGTTCATTCTTAAAAATCTTAGTGGGTGATGAGGTATTATCATTGAAAAATGCCTTTTCTACACAAATAAAAATATTCACTGACAACTGATCCTCCAGCATAGAAATTTTTCGCTAAGTTTTTGATTTTTAATTAGTGAATAGAAGAAATGTTTCAAAGAAGTGTTGTTACATTCACACATATATATATTTAACACAGCGTTGATTATGGTATCTATAAACAGAAGATTGTATGAGCTATACAGAGATACTAATAGTATAATACAGCTGCTGTTTTTACGGCTTTTATATAGAAACAACTATATAGTGTGAGAGCTTTTTGGACATTCTACTTAGAATAAATATTTCTTTAAATGTGTCCATTATTGAGAAGTTCAATAGGAATGTAAATGAATCGATTGCATCGTATATAAATTCGAACTATTAGATAGGGAGATACAACTTCTGTCTAAGTGCAATGTATTTCTGAAGTTTAAAATAAAAAGACTTAATGCTTGTCAAACTAAACTCGCTTGTCATTCCGTATATCAGCAAAAACAGCAGCTGCATATAGACGAATGAGCACAACTAGACTTGAAAATTTCCAAGCAAGAAAAGAGAAAAAGTTAATTGACGACCAACAAAAACATGGACAAAGTTGAAAACAACCAAATGGAAGAAGAACGACAAAGAAAAAGCCGACACAAAATTGAAGCATGATAACAAACATTTGCATGAAGGAAAGAGAGGAACACCCATACACCTGTATTCGACTTTCTCTTTGCATAAAAACCATCCTTACAAAAAAAACAAAAATAATCTACCATTTCTCTCTCCTTTCAGACAAGCCGAACGAAAGCATAGGAGAAGGAAGAAAAAAAGAAAACGAATAATACACGAGATAGTAAAGCAATCAAAGTAACTTTACCATTCTAGTCACATTCGTACAACAACATGACAAATGAAAGCATAAAAAATTTAACTGACGATTCAATTATCGTCTGGTTAGATAGTGGTATTGAAAAGACTAAAAGTAATCAAGATACAAAAGCACAAATACGACAACTGGTTAGAGGTAATTTATTAACATATGATGATCCGGATAAATGTATTCATGATATAACCGATGAACTAACAGCAAAACGAGTCTTCTTTATTGTTTCTAATGCATTTGGTCAATCTGTTGTGCCACTTATATACGAGATACCAAACATACAAGCGATATACATATTTTGTGGTAATCGACAGGTAGCAGAAAGATGGGCTAAGCCAAATTTTAAAATCTTTGGTATATTCACAGAAAAACGAAAACTATTAGATAAAATTGCTAATGTTGTTGTTACGTATGATAAATATAAAGATTTACCAATGAGTATATTTCACCTTGCAGAACAACAATATACATTGAAACAATTAACCAAAGAAAGTAGAGCGTTTATGTGGTATCAGGTAATATTGAAAGTTCTTCAATTAATGGCAAAATACGGTAATTCAAAAGATGAAATGATCGCTGAGTCTAAAGCAAGTTATTGTGATAATGAAAAAGTCAAAGAGAAAATAGACGATTTTGACAAAAATTATTATCCAATGAAAGCGTTGTGGTGGTATACATGTGATAGTTTTGTATATCGATTATTAAATAAAGCATTACGCACACAAAACACTGAAATTATATTTAAATTTCGATTTTTCATCAATGACCTTCAGAATCAAATCGAACAACTTTACCATCAATATTTAGATAAGCAGTCTTCAATTATTGATCATCATTTAACAGTTTATCGCGGTCAACATTTAAGTATGACAGAACTTGATTTACTTAAAAGTAATGTAAATGAACTTATTTCAATGAATAGTTTCTTAAGTGCTACATTAAAGCAACCAGTAGCTGAAGTTTTTGCTGGTATTACTGATCAATTGAATGAACCATCACCATTACAGTCTGTTTTTTTCATAATTGATATTTGTAATATGAGTAAAGAAACGACACCATTCGCATTTATACAAAACTATTCGTCTTGTCCAGATGAAGAAGAAGTACTTTTTACGATAGGCGCTATTTTTAAAGTTCAATCAGTTGAACAACACGGTAACATTTGGCATGTGCACTTACAGCTAAGTAAAGAACAAAAAGAAATTAGTCAAAGTCTATCGGATCACATGATGAAACAAATTGGATCAGAACCAGATCCATTGTTATTCGCATGGTTTCTTTGCCGAATGAATAAATTTGATGAAGCTGAGCGTTATGTGAATTTAATACTTACACAACTTCCACCGAATGATAAAGGAACTGGAGATGCTTACAACTTACTTGGTCTTATCTATAAAGCTATTCATAAGCTGGAACAATCTGTTGAATGTTATGAAAAATCGCTTGAAATTTATTCTCAACTGAACTATCACCATAGTCCTCGAGCTATTGCTACTCATTGTAATCTTGGTTTGGTTTATTTAGAATCAGGAGATACTCGAAGTGCAAAAGAACAACAAGAACAAGCCGAAGAGAAGTTGTCCAAGTCTCCACAAGCAAAGGATTCATTACTCATAGCTATAGTAGAGGGTCTCAAAGCGAAAATTCAAACAGAATATGGTGATAATGTAAATGCTTTGAAAAAGTATGAACTTGCCTTAAAAAGTAAACGGGATCAATTACCATCAAATCATCCTTCGATAGCATCAACGTTAAATGATATAGGTATTGTTCAAGAAAAAATAAACAATGATGTTAAAGCACTTGAATATTTTCAACAAGCACTGACAATCGGTAACGAAAGCTTACCAGCTGATCACTTAGATTTAGTTGATTATCATACAAATATTGGTCGTATTTATGACAAACAGAAACAATTTAGAATTGCTTTGCAAGAATTTGAATTAGCACTTAAAATTATGCAAGAATTTCCACGAGAAGAAACTGATAGGATTGGAAAGTTAGAGAAATACATCGCTGACACGAAAAAAAAGCTAAGTCAGCTATAAATTTACTGGTGAAAATTTTTTCTTTTCACAATTTTTTGATAATGTTTTTTTCACTTATTACGTTAATTTTCGAAGAAAGTTCAATAATTGAAATAAATAAATCAAAAAGAGATTTAATACTTCCAATATATTCGAAATTACTAATACACTTACGGAAGAGCCAGTCAGACTAATAGTTCATTCAATAGAAAAGAAGATTGACTTACTAAATAAAATTTCATTATATTAAGGAGTAAAAAAACATGCATTCTATTTGTCTTGTTTAATGGCTAATAACAAAATGTCAAACAATTTACCTACTATGCTAGAAGAATTTTCTTCAAGTCATATTTACATATCTAACTAAAACCAGTACGATTGTAAACGGCAGTTTCGAGATAATATTATTTATAAATATTCAATTTCGAAAAACAGTTGTAGTATTTCATACTAAAGAAGTTGTTATTTTCATTAATTATTAAATTTTTCACATAAATATTAACTGTTTCGATCATTATAATTCTATTTTATTTATTTGATCGTCTATTATTCGATCTTTAAAATGGATTTATAAAAAGTTACATTTATCACATATTATTTTACTTCTTATGAACCTATCATGACATTTGTATCTTTATTCTTTATAAAGGATAGTCAAACGGAACAAGCACTAATAATAATAATTGAAAAAACAAGAAGAATTTTAAAACTATCATTAAAAATACACGTATTGATATGTTCTCTTATTTCATGTATTTTGATAATATCTGGATATACAAACAGTAAAAATAAAAGTAAGTTGAGTCATCTTATATTTCATAAATTTAGAAACTGATAAGAAACAAAGGTATTATCTAATTATCTTTTGAGTCTTCTATCAAAAGGAAAATAGTCAAATAATGCTCATAATATCTTCAAGACTTATGAGCTTTTAAATATACATTTACATTTGCTTGTAATAATTCAAGATTCCTTTTTATAAAATAAAATCTTTAAAAACTTTTTATCGTTGTGAAATCCTATTTTTATAAGTTATTTAGAACAAAATAAACAAATAATTGAATTATATCAAAGAAGTGTTTTAAAAACCTACTATAATGGGCAGACAGGTTAACTTCTTATCTATCGATCCACGCAGAATCAAGATCGATAACAATTTGCCTCCAACAATATAAAGATTTTCTTAAAGATCACTCATTCAATTTTATGAAAATCTGAACAACTAACAAATATTTCCTTCTGTAAGTTTTTCGTCATCTTCAAGTGCTTGACATGATTGACTAATCTCCGGAGTATCTTTTTCTACTAAAAGCATCATCAGAAACCACATAGAAAGTTTATTTTAATTACAATGTATCAATACTTTGGAAAAGTCCCCTTAAGGATATTCCCCTCCTTTGCGGGGTTTTTGAAGAACGACTCATCAGAAAAATTTGAAATTTTCAGGGCAGGTATATCTTGATATATTTGAATCACAATAGCGAAAAATGGTTCCCGTTTCTCCGAGATGCTACATTCGATCAAGCTGAAATCTTGTTTTACAGATACTAGACACTGTTTGGGGTGGGGTATTTTGTTCAGTTTCTGTTTATCTTCTCTCCTTCGAATAAAAAAGTTAAAATATCGAAGGTACCCTAAAAAACGAATGTTTTTTTTTGAATAGTGCTTTTTGTAAGAGCTACAAAAAGTCAACAAAATGATACTTTTTTTAAACAAGAAAAAGAACCCACCTCAAACAATGTCTAGTATATGTGAAAAAAATTTCAACTCGATCGGATTTACTACGCCGGAGAAACGGAGTCGAAACAGCACTTTTTCTGTTAAAAATTTGATTTTAACAAAAGACACGAAACAATTCAGAATGTTTGCTATTTTCGTTACGCAAATTTAATTTCTTCTCCATTTTTTTTATAGTTTAAAAATTATATTCGAGTTCTAAAATGTAGCTAGTTGATAGATACCACTTGAGACTATAAAGTGACCACAAAAAAACGAAAAACCAAGAATTCTGAGTTAGGAAAGGGGGGAGTACCCTAAAACCTGTATTTTATTGATGCTTTTATTAGAATAATTTGCTGAACTCAAATCTGTCACCTGCAAAGAATTTTAAGATATTTGCATAAATTCACTATACAAGTTATTGATCATCAGCATCGTTCGTACTATATATGTACTATAATCATTATCATCATCGTCATTGAGTTCTTCAATTTGTTCGACACAAACATCGGGCTTTTTTAAACTTTGTCTTACATTATTTGACACGATTGGGGTAACTGGTTGTTTTCATCGCACCTAAGTCATGAAGCTATTCTGGTACTGATTTGTTCAATTCAGTCAATGTTAAAACTCGTGTTTCTATTACGTATATGTTTTCATATTAGTTATGACTAACTGCATAGGAATCAATGTGCAATGTCTCATTGATAAAGGGATGTCGGTGTGATAGTAGCTGAAGAAAAACTCTACATCCAATGTGTGGTTTTTGATGACGCTTTTAGTAGGAAAAAAACGCTCAGAAGGTTAATCAATCATGTCACGAATATGAAGACGACTAAAAGCTTACAAAAAAAAAGAGAAATATTTGTTAGTTGCTCAGATTTTGAAAGAATTTAGTGAGTGATCTGAAATAAAATCCTTATATTTTTGAAATGTATAACCGCTTTTGGTCTTCGTTTTTGCGTGGATCGATATAGAGAACATCAGGCTATCTTTTCATTATATTATAATATTGAGAAAACATATTGTTTTCAAAATGGATTAAGATCATCTTCAAAACCCATGATGCTGCATTATTTTTTTCTTTTTGTTTTGAAGCTACTCAAAAAATGGACTATAGTTTTATATCAAATGACTATATCAGTTTTGTAACTACTGTATATTTGATGACTCGAATGTCTTTGTTGTCAAAATTTAATATAAAAGCCGGTGAAAAACGTTTTCCAACTAGTTTTACTGAAAACAAAAATAGGAAAGTGCAGATGTTTTAGTGTCTTTGTATAGTTCGTAAAGTCTCTATCCATAAATATTATTACTTAGTTCTGCTGTATTAAATAAACGTTGTTCCATAAGTTTGATCCCATTTTTATTTTCTTTGTAGTTCTTCTCGGTGAGTAGCTGCTATTTTTTTTTTCAATATTTTTACTAACATAGTGCTTTCTAAATGTTAATACAAAATCGACCGCTATTTATGTTGAATCATAGTTTAAATGCTACTCTTCAGATACAGTAAAACCTCTTTAATCTGAGCGCCATCGGGACCGGCAAAAAGTGCTCAGTTTAAGGAGGTGCTCATTATTCGGAGATTTGCAGATTCTCTTCATAAACAGTCTGAATATTCACTTGAAAATGCTTTTCGAGAGCACAGAATGATATTGTACTTCCTTTCAATAAGTTATTTATACAATAATTTATTTCCTAATATCACAAATTTTTACAACACATAACTAAGTTTTTTTAAAATAACTATCAAGTGTNCAACTTCTCCGAAAGAATTTTTCGCTCATTTAATGACCCTGAACCACACCCACACCTACACACGCACTCACACGTATACCTACACCCACACTTACACCTACACCCACATGTGCACTCATTCCAATGTCTCCGTCAGCGAAAAATTCTTTCGGTGAAGTTGGAATTCGGCGAAAATGGAAATTACCGATTAAAACAACAGATGTTTGATACTCAGCAACTGCAACGTTTGATTGCTGTGTATCTTACATTTACTCTAGCTGCACAAATTTTAGGCATGACTGATAGAAGCAGTTATGTGTTTGGGGAATCCCAACTTTCACTATACACTGGTACCATGGGCGGGCCGGCATAGGGGCGAGAGAGGGCAATTGCCCCCTAAAAAAATTTTTTTGGCTGGGACTTAAGAAGAATGCCATGAAAACAAGCGTTTTTAAGCGAAAAAGTGCTTATTGCCCCCCCCCCCTGAAAATTATGGTCCGGCCCGCCAATGACTGGTACAATATTTGTGTTTATATTTTAAGACAAGCCAGTCATCACCAGGGCTCGAAACGGGCCACAAAAAACGAGGCCCGAAAAAAATTGCGTTTAAGAAATTCTTTTTCTCAAAAAAACTTAGGAAACCAATCCGATTACTATCAAGATACAAAATACCAACGGATCGACGATATCTTGAGTTCGATTTTTTCAAATTCTCGAAGTTGAAATAAAATTAATCTGATAAGTTGAATTTTTTATTTAGTTCAAAGATAATACACTGTAAGCTACTCAAAATCAGTAACGACTGTTATAAACTGCTCGATATCATATGGCATAATTTCGATTTAGTTTTAATCATGAAAATTACTCTACTTCTGAGTAAAAATGTTTTTTCATTTTTGATCATTCAAGGAACTAGCTCGCAATCGAGAATAGCCGATCAAAAAGGAAGGAAAAAATCATCGATGCCTCCAATTTACAGGTGAGCCTTCTAACTTTGAATGCCAAGAATTTTTAACACTCTGATTAATTATTTTCTACTACATGCTAAGTCTCTTTATGATCGAAATCGGAGAAAACTTCACTTAGAAAAGCAGCTCAAAATTCCAAATATTGCCTTTTTCCAGTAACTGATATACTTCCCATGAAATTCCTCTTTAATAAAAGTTGAAGAATTAGATATAATATTTATTTAAAACTTCTACTATCGCTGGCTACCCACTCTATCTCTTTTTTCCTCTTTTTTTAGTAAAAAGTAAAGTGTACAGAGAAAAACTTAGCATAGATAAATTTATTCAGCAATAGTAGGCTCATGTACGGTAATAAACACTGATTTTTTTTTCTTGTTTTTCTTTTTCACACCAAGAAAATGCTAGACCTATGAAAATACTGTATGCAACTATCTTAGATAGAAACAGAACTAAAACGGAACTAAGTTGCAATAAGATAGGCAAACGCAGTGAAAGATAATGACAAGTATTTGATTGAACTTCAATCGACTTTTTCAACAACCAATACGGGTAGTAAAGAATAAAAAGAACTTCGATAGATTGTTTGACATCCCTAAT